GCGAGTTTTTCACAAGAGGTTCAGTAAACTGTAAAAACTTCCTAGCGTATATATACATTGGACTGGCGAGGTAGCCCTGTGGTAGAGCACTTACCTAACACGTGCAAGGTCCTGGTTCCAACTCAGCACCGCACACACGCACGCGCACAGGTGCAGGCGCAGGCACAGCGTGGTTCTCGCCGTCCCCAGAGCCCGTGGGCAGCTGCAGGCCCACCTGCCTGCTCATGCCCGAGGCCGGGCTTCCCCAGAACCTATTCACTGCTGTCTCCCTCGAGGTCTCCTCCGCCCCTGCCTTCTTGTCCGCACAAAGCCACTCATTCTTCTCAGGACTTAGGAGGCCGTGAGATTTTAAACAGTGGCTTCTCTTCTCCCGAAGCCCCAGAGGGGCATCCCAGACTGAACGCTGCTTTATCTGTGCTTGGTGTTGAGCCTTGCACTCCCTCGGCCGGAAGCTGGGCATGGCCCAGCAGTGTGGGCAGGGTTCCGGCCTGGCGCTGGGGCAGGCGCATCTGGGCAGGGGGTGGGCCCTGGCCTGGCTGCGGTGCTGCAGGGTCTCTGTTCAAAGGTCAGCAAGATCCCTAGAGGTAGAGGGCGCCGTTACAAGAGGGAATTTTCTCCTTCAGTCCCGAAGAGCACCTGCACCACCACACCTTGCTCCACTGGGACTCTAAATGTCCCCAAATGGTCACAGGTTGAAGGTCACTGGGATCATGGCCTTCTTGCTCCCTTGGCTTCCTGGCTGCCATGGACTGAACAGCTTCGCTCCCACTCCTTGGCAGATTTGGACTCTGGAGGAGTCTGCAAAGGCCTAGTAGAGTAGGGACTGAGGAGATGCAGGAAGCCGGGGCAGCCAACATCTGGGAGGCTCTCACAGACAGCTGCAGCAGATGCAGAGGGATGTGTGATGGTGTCTGAGGAGATGTCCGGGTCCTGACGCAGCAAGGAACGAGGCCCTCTTTTTCTCCATCCTCGGTTTTTTGTGCCTTGGATGAAGGAATTCAGTCAAAACACACAGGGCAAGGGGTGTGGTGGCGCACACCTGTAATCCCAACACTCAGGAGGCTGAGACAGGAAGATCGCTGTGAGTTTGAAGGCAGCCTGGGCTACATAGTGAGCTCAAGGCCAGGCTGAACTGCATAGTAAGACCCTGCCTCAACAAAGGAGTCCAGGAGTTCAGGTAGAACTTCTTGTAAAGTGGATGCAGAGAGAGTTACCTGTACCAGAGAGAAGGCGGGCAGTGCCGCAGAGGCATCTGCCCTGAATGTAAATTCGCACAGCTTTTTATGCTCACAAAAGTGATTTCTGGGGCCCGGGGAATTGTGATAGTGAATGATGCTTATTGACATTTTACTCAAAGGTTACTAAGGAGCTGCAAACATGTCTTCCTGTCCTTTTAGGTGGTCAGTGTTTCCTCAGGGGCTTTACTCACATAAGAAACTCACAAAAGGTAAATTCTTAATCTAAACCAGACTGCCGAGGCAGGAGGGTCTGGTAAAGAACATCTCTTTTCCTGACATGTGTGGGTGGGAGGCCGTGGTGGCGAGGGACGCGTGGGCCTTGTTCTGGAGTCAGGTGGTCAGCCAGTGTCCGAGGAACGTGTGCCACGTGTCACCTTATGATGTCACTGTGTGTTGTGGACCGCTTTGGGTCTGAGACCTATGATGTGATCTAAATGTATTAGACACCGATGTCTTTGTTTCTTTACCCAATTGGTAATGCTTGCTATTTTGGGACCCCCCCCCACCGTCCCTCAGGCCCAGCGTCCAACTCCCTACTTGACAGAGTGGATGGGCGAGGACAGGACAGGAGCTCCCTGCAGCTGGCTTCACGCAGCCCTGTGAGGACCCTGGCTTTTAGTCTGGGAAGGAGAGGACATCTTTAGGACATCTGGGCAAGGAGCACGCAGGGCAGGACTTCCTCAGAGGGGAGGTAGGGGCCAGCTCTGGCCAGGGCTGCAGGTTTTGCCCTGGTGGCCTTGGGGACTCTACCCCAGTGCCTTCCTGGCCTCTGGCGAGCCTGCACCGGGGATCCCGGCAGCATTCGCTGGGGCCTGCCGCCCCCTGGTGGGCATCAGGAGACAACCCATCCTCCTGCCATCTGTTTTTCCTTTGCTAGGAGTCTGCAAATTTTGTGGGCTCAGCCTAAACACCAGGCTATGAAAACTCTTGTCGCAGATGGCAGAGGTGACAGGCAACACTCAGGAGAAAACAACTCATCAATCCATAGACAGGAAGGCAAAAGGAACATATGGTGTTGATACAGCAGACTGCAGAGCAGGCCTGAGCAGGGCCCGGTGACGTTTTCCACTGTGATGGTCACCAGCACCCAGAAGTGGGGCTGAAGGAAGCATCTAGGCTGGGAGCTGTGGAACAGGTGCTGCTCCCAGAGGCCAGTGCATGGAGTGACTGGAGGATCCTGACAGAGAGCTCTGAGTTCAGGGTACAGTCATGAGTTCCTGCTAGGGAGGGAAGGGAGTGGAGCCAAAGGCCCTACTGCAAAGAAAATGGACTACTGTAGCTGGAATCTGGGAGTGGTAGCACAGAACTGTAATCTCGGCACTCAAGGAGGCTGAGGCAGTAGGATCACAAGTTCAAGGCCAGCCTGGGCAACATAGCAATGCTCCATCTTGAATAAAATTGAAAATGAAGCTGGGTGTGATGGCACACACCTGTAATCCCAGCATTTGGGAGGTTGAGGCAGGAGGATCACCTCGAGTTCCAGGCCAGCCTGAATTGCATAGCAAGACTTTGTCTCAAAAAAACAAAAAACAGGGCTGGGGATTTAGCTCAGTGATTCTGCTGCCTGCCTCGCAAGCGCAAGGACCTGAGTTTGATTTCTGGTACCAAAAAAAAAAAAAACCCACCAAATTATAGCTCAGTGGTAAAGTACCTTTGGTTTTGATCTCCAGTACACCCCCTCAAAAAAGGGAATGCATTAGGAATGCTAAATTGGCTTTATTGCCTTCGTAGTAAATTCTTCTTTGCCTATAACCCAAAAATTCCACTCCAAATATACACCCTAGAAAAAGTCTTTCTGAGTCTGCTCACAAAGGCAGCTAATAGGAAGACAACTAGGATGAACCCTCTGTGGTTTAATCAATGAAGTATGCTCCAAAGACTCATGTATTGAGTATTCGATTCCCAACACAGCAGTGTGTGGAGGTGTGGTTCAGTGGGTTGTGCGGGTGATGACATCATCACTGCATTAATTGATGAATTCATGGCTGAAATGGCTCTTAGAGCTTGGAGTGATGGCACATACCTGTGATCCCAGCACTCTAGAGGCTGAAGCAGAAGGATCATAAGTTTGAACTCAATTCTAAGCCTGGGCAACTCAGTAACTCAGGGAGAATTTGTCTCAAAATAAAATAAAGGGCTGGGGATGTAGCTCAGTGCAAGACCCTGGGTTCAGTCCTTAGCTGGGGATTTAGCTCCGTGGTTCTGCCGCCTGCCTCATAAGTGAAAGGTCTGGAGTTCTATCCCCATACCAGTAAATAAATAAGTACATAAATCCTCAGAACTGCCCCCACCAAAGAAAGTATAGTCTTGCTGGCTGGGAAAAGGGAAGTTTGGTAGTTTGGGGCTTGGACAATGCAAATGTTTTGTGTTCAACACGATTATTTTTTTGTTTTTGTTTTTTGAGACAGAGTCTTACTGTTTAGTTGAGGCTGACCTGGAACTCACTATGTATCCCAGGCTGGTCTCAAACTCACAGTGATCCTCCTGCCTCAGCCTCCCGAGTGCTGGGATTACAGGTGTGTGCCAGCACTCCCGGCTTCAACACGATCATGGAGTGACCTAGTTTTCTCTTGATCCATTACAATCAGTCTGGTTTTGATGTATTGTGAAATTGACTATGCCTGACAGAAGAACACCAGGCCAGCTTCCGGAAGCCAGTGTCTGCTTTCTCTTTCTCCCCTGTCAGTAAGCATGAAACATCCCGGTGTTGGCTGGGGGATCTAAGTTACTTTGCCACAGAGAGGCAGCCTTGATTTCCATTCCAGGTGCAGAGCTTCAGATAAGTGACTGCATCCCACCTCTGTCTATCTTTACCTTTGCAGCTTCCACAGAAACAGCACACTCTGCAGGTCAGATATGGACCCCTTTACACAGCTGAACGTTCTTTTTTTCTTTTTGGTTTCTGGGCTAGAACTCAGGTTTTTGCGCTTGCAAAGCAGGTGGGGGAACCACTGATCTAAATCCCTGGTCCATGAACTTTCTTATTCGTTTTAGGCAGGGCCTCAGGCCTGCGCCACAATGCCCAGCTGCTGTGGTTTTTTGCGCCTACAAAAGCAGTCCTTCATTTCAATTTTATCCTATAACAACTCTCCTTTTCTTCAGAGACAAGCTCCACTCACTGGTGTGCTATGTCCTTTACTGAAATGAATTAACAAATTTGACTTTGATGGAATTACATATCCCGTTTCTGGTGAGCTTGGGCTGACCGAGCAGGAACAAAGCTATATTACGGAAAGAATAAAAGCAAAGAAAACGTAGTGTTGAAAAAAGGTACAGTTCTGAGTGGTGGTGCACTCGGGAGGCTGAGGTAGTGCTGAGTGTTGTTATCCCAGCACTCAGGAGGCTGAGGTAGGGGGATCAGGAGTTCAAAGGCTGCTTGGGTTAGAGAGACTCTGCCCCCAAAACAAAACAAAATAAAACAACCCACCAAAGAAGTGGAAGTTAGAGATTTAAATAAGGTGCTCAGGGAAAGCCTCAGGTTAAATAACATCTGAACAAAGACGAGGAAAGTGGGGGGGTTCTAACTGATTCAATATCTGGTAAAAGCCTTTTAGGAAGGGGGAATTCAATGCAAAGGCCTCGGGGAGAGGCAGATAGGGCATTTTTCAATCATAATTCTTTTTAGGCCTATCCTGACATTTCTGTAACCCTGCAACCTGTCCCTATTCCTACCCCTCCTCCTGCTTTTCTCCATTGAGCTTTTAAAGATACAAAGCCGTGTTCAGTGTTTATTATGTTCGTTTTTGCTTTTCGTGATGGCAGAAATCTTCGCCCCAAGTCCAACGACATGGCCCAAGCTCCTAACACTGTGAGGACACACAACAGGCGCTTAAAAGCCATAAGGGGAGAGCGAGGCCAACACAAGGAAGACTCAGCCAAGCCAGGCTTCAGGGACCACTGGGCGAGACCCGCGATCGGCCCAAACACCGAACCTGGGCTCTAACGCGCGCTCACGCACTCACACGCGTGCGCTGTAACACCCACCTAATTGGCTGAGGCGTTTCCGCAAGTGGTTTTGCGCATGCGTGCTCTGTGGCGCGAAGCTGGTGGCGGGTGAGGTTCTCCACCCTGCGTTAGTCCCGAAGCAGCTCACATTCTCTTCCATCCGCACTTATTTCCTCGGAGTCCAAAATGTTCCCGGAACTCAATAACCTTCTCAACACCACTCCTGACACGGAAGAACAGGTAAACTTGCCTGCCTGAAGGGGGCGAGTCCCGGGAGCGTGGCGGGAGACATCCGGGAAGCGGCGCTCAGGGGCTGGCGGGAAATTACGGCGGCCGCGAGCCTCTGGCTCTCGGGACCGCGATGCGGATTCGCGGCTTGGGTCGGATCAGTCGCGTTCTCAAAGACCGTGAGTGCCCTTAAAAGGCCTCGGGAAGCTCGTCGAACAATTAGATTGCCTTACAGTAATAGACATGAGCCGGGGAGTCCTGTGTTGCCCGCCGGGCCGGGAGGCGGCTGCGGAACGGGCCGGAAGGAGCGCCTGGGACCAGCCGCCATCCTCCCGGGGCCAGGCTCTTCCCCGCCCCAGCCCCCCGCGGCGCCCCGTAGGGGTGTTCCGAGCCGCTAGCAGCCCGAGTGCACCACACACTGACCCTCCGCTCCTTTCTCCACTCTTCTCTCGCACTACGCGGTCACGTTTTCAGTAATGCACAAGTTGTCTCTTCCAGGAACATCTCTGGCTTACTCCATCACTTTTGTCTTGTAATGAAAAGGTGGGCTCCTTCAAGCGGTGTGAACTGCCTTTCCTGGATCTCGTCTAGCCAGTCCTCTACATGACTCTGGTTATCGTGGCAGTTACTGGGGCCAAAGGGAATGGAGGACTGGAGTGGGTACCAGGAAATGACAGCGCTGGGGCGCAGCAGCTCCAGGTGTACCACTGTGAGCTGATCTTTTATTTTCACTACTCAGGATTGAACCCAGGGTCTTTACACTCAGCTATATTTCCCTTTTTAATTTTTGAGTCCGGGTCTTGCTGAGTCCGAGCTTGTGATCCTGCAGTCTCAGTCTCCCAGGGATTGCAGGCATGCACTACCCTTCCCAGCTTGATCTTTCCTATTTCATAAGTGAGAAAGGAGAAACAACAGAAGTCCAGAGAAATTAGGCATTTGCCTAAGGTCACACAGCATGGCAGTGGAGTGTGTCATAAACTAGGTCATCAGGAGAACTCTTATTGGAGATCTCTGTTACCTGACCCCCGAACACCACCCCCAATATAGGACAGAAAATTAGGAAGTTAGGTCAGAAAACCTTTCTGAAAACCCCCCACCCCCAAAGGAGAAAGTCCCTTCCAATCCTGGCAGTCTGTAATTTTCCCTGGAGCCTGAAGGTAGAGAAGCGTCTTTGGTTTGGGATCTGGTTCTCCCAGGGACTGGCTCCTGAGGTGAGAAAGGGCAAGAGAAGCAGTTTCTGCCTTGGAAAGTAGAGGCTGAGGTTAACTTGTACATCATGAGTACAGCACTGATAGCTTTAATCATAGTTTAAGAAAATAATTTTGCTTTGTTTTGGGGGTAAATTTAACATATTTCTACACTCTCCAGGTGTAGAAATTTAGCAGCGGACACAACTCGATTTTTACACTGTGTTGACCTCTTTTTGGGGAGTCAAATTCACCTTTTTTTTGTTTTTCTTAACTTTTAGGGGAAACTGACTCTACTCTGTGATGCCAAGACAGATGGCAGTTTCCTTGTGCACCACTTTCTGTCTTTCTACCTCAAAGGTGTGTGACTCATTGATGTGGAAAAAGAAACCCATTGCAAAAAAATCCCAAAACAAAACAGAAACCAGTGGCCTGTTTCAGGCAGCAGTGGCAAGGTATTTACTAAGAGGAGTTTGGATTTGAGTAGCTAAGAAGCTTTTTTATTAGGTAACAGCACTGGCTTCCTCTCATACCCTCCCAGCCCTACAGAGTGGCATGCACTGGCTGTGCCCACTTCCGGCCTTCCCTTTGTATACCTACTGAGCAGGTGCTAACTACCTCACCAAGGTCCTCTGGTGGCTCCTCGTTTAGTGGCTCCTTCGTCCTTGTGCATGTTGAAATCTCTGGACCCTTAACCCCCGTGACATTTGGCCCTGATGTGGATGCTCCCTAAAGAATATGGCTCTTGCAGTTTACACCTGGAAGTAGGAAAAGGGTCAAAAGCAAAAGAGTCTCATTTATCAGTGGGTTCTCTTGGAGTATGTGCTGTGCCAGGCCAGGGTATGAAGTAGATCTGTGGTGCTCATAGTTGTAATAAAAGCAGCTTTTATTTATCGTTTTTAGTTTTGAGATAGTTTTTCAGTCTTGCTAGGGCTAGAAGAAATGGAGGGATAAAGTGAGTACCAGGAAATGACCCTAGTGGGGGCACAGTACCCTCAAGGTATGGCAATGTGCGTATTTTATAAGTTAAAACAAGCCCAGAGAAATTAGGCACTTGCTTAACGTCACACATGATGAAAGTGGTAACAGCATGGAACTTGTAATCTTCCTGCCTCAGCCTCCTTAGTGCTGGGATTACAGGCATGAGCCACCATACACAGTTTAATTTTGTAGTTTTGAAAGTAATTTTCAGATTATGTTATTGTCAGCACAGAAAAAGCAAGAGAATTTACAGATAAATTATTGGAATGAAAAAGATTTGGTTGTGTAACAGGAGTTTCTTTGTGCTTCCTTTATTTTCTGTGGGATATAAAAATAATTTTTTTGTTTTTGGTTTTTTGAGATAGGGTCTTGCTATATAGTTCACTATGAACTTGAGCTCACTATGTAGCCCAGGCTGGCCTCAACCTTGTGGAAATCCTTTTGCCTCAGCCTCACCTGAGTGCTGGGATTACAGGCGTGCATTACCATACCTGGCTCCTATAAAACTAATTTTAAAAGTGAGTTGTATTCTTGTATACCAGCAGTAAACAGAAACAAAAATTGAAAAAAGACACACTTTATAATAGAACAGTTAAATACCTAGTAATATATCCAGAGAAGTACATGTTAGACTCAACAAATAAGGCATAAGTTTTGGAGTATTTTTTGTTTTTGTTTTGGTTTTGGTATTGGGGCCTGAACCCAGGGCCTTTGCACTAAGCTAAATCCTGAGCCTTTTTTATTTTTTATCTTAGGATAGGGTCTCTCTAAGTTGCCACGTTGCCCAGGCTGGGTTTGAACTTATGTCTTCTTACTTCAGCCTCTAGAGTGCTGGGGTTACAGGTGTGCACCACCACGTGTAGTGGCATAATTTTAAATCTCAGAAAAATTGTGTCTTGGAAGCAGATTTGATTTGTCAGCCTGCAGGGCCTCTGGGTGTCCAGTCTGCCTCAGTGCCTTTGTTCCTGGGTCGTGAGCACAGGCTCTGTAACGATCTGTTTTGTCTTCTAGCTAATTGTAAAGTCTGCTTTGTGGCCCTTGTCCAGTCCTTCAGTCACTATAACATCGTGGGACAGAAGCTGGTAAGTTTCAGACCTCCGTGGTGAGGCCGCTGAGTGGGCGAGTGTGGCAGGCCCAGGTAAAGCTGGCCTTCCTTGTTTGGGTTATAGAGGACTTGGTAAAGGAGAGGCTAAGAAAATCTTGGGACCCTGAACCCCTCACATATAGGGTAGCAAATCAACATGGTTTATTAATTGAAAGTTTATAAAACCGGATCTGTTGTTTGTGGATGTCAGTTTATCAAACCCTGCTCTACTGACTCTGGACCTCTTCAGGTTGTGTCCTGTCCATGTGGTCTTTCGCATGGTCTGCTGGGTTGGGGCTCACAGCTTAGTCTCTTGCTAGGTGGGGGTTTCCCATTGTGTCCCTAGATCTAGGGCAATGGTGGGGAACCTATGGCACATGTGTTGTTTTTCTTTTTTCTTTTTTACCAGGGATCAAACTTGGGACCTTGCACTTGTTTTTCTTTTAAGACAAAAGATGTTCATGTATGAGTTCTTTTTTCTAAGCTAAAGCCTTAGTATTCAGGGTTAACTGTAGTGTTGGCACTTTGCGATAAATAAGTGGGTTTTGGGTTGCAGTTTAGGTACTCAGGCTTAAAAGAGTCGCCTTCACTGCTCTAGGGCCTGGGACCCCACTGTGGGCAGAGGCACTATTTATTGTTGCCTGTCCCTTGCCTCACCCTGCCAGCCCTTCATCTCATCAGATGTGGGCAGATAAGAATAAGATAGCAGAGCCAGGGATTTAGTGCAGTGATTTTGCCACCTGCCTCGCAAGTGCAAGGTCCCGAGTTTGATCTCTGGTACAAAAAAAAAATGAATACAAAAACCATTGCTGGGCGTGGTGGCGCATGCCTGTAATCCCAGCACTCGGGAGGCTGAAGCAGGAGGATCGCTGAGACCAGCCTGGGCTACATAGTGAGTTCCAGGTCAGTCTCAACTACATAGTGAGACCCTGTTTCAACTCCCCCTCCCCCAAAAAAGAATGATATAGCAGAGACCAGTGAGCCTGCTTACCTACCCAGGGATGTGACCTGTGCCCAGGTGTACCTAACTGCCTGAGAATGGGAGTGCAAGGGATACAGGCTTTTGCGTTTGGGGAGCGGACATGCCAGCCTTAGAGAGAGAGCCGGGCCATCGATGGGGAGTGATATTTTTTCCTCCTGGTGCTGTGAATCAAGCACAGGACCCTGGTGCCTTCTAGGCAAGTATTTTACCTCCGAGCTACACTCCCAGCCCAGCAGTGATCTTCACGATGCTAGTCGTACTGTTCCTGGCTCTTTACCATGCTGCCTCTTCTGGTTTGGGAGAAACAAGCATGGGCTGAGAGAAGGGTACCCTCTTCTCCTTTGCAGGGAGGAAGACGTACTGTGGTAGTCAGGCTGGGTTCAGGAACACATGTTGCCCTCCGCGTCTCTGTCGCGTGCGGGTGGCCCTGGCCTGTGTGTTTCTTGGTGACAAAGCTGTGTGTCGCTCATGTGCAGACTGGCCGCTTCTTTCACCTTTGGGTCATCGGCACAGCAGGAACAGCAGGCGCAGCATCGGTGTGTGAAGCACAATGAGGCATCCGTGCTCCTGGCTCATTACTGCACTCACAAGGGGAGGCTGGGCATGAGCGAGCGCAGAGGGGCTGATCTGCCCGCAGCTGTTGGGCCAAACGGTGCTGCGTTGCGAGGGCCCTGTTGGTGGTGTTGTAGTGTGAAGGGCAGATGGGCAGTTGAGCCTGGGCCTGGGTCATGGTGAGTCTGAAGCGTTCCTCAAGAGCTATTTCTGTGCAGCAAGAGCGAGGAGTACCAGAATGCAGATCCTGGGCCCTGCCCTTATTGTGGAAATCTGAAGTCAGACCCAGGAGCCGGGCTCTTTTTTTGGTGGTGCTGGAGATTTTACCAGGGACTCAGGCATGCTAGGCAAATGCTGTACCACCAAGCTACACAGTTACTGTGTAGCTCAGTTACTGGATTTTAATTTCCAGTAGTAACATAAAATGTCATTTTTAAAATGCATGTATTTAAAAAATGAAGTGCATTTAAAATTGGTAATAAAACGTTCTTTAAAAACCAGGCATGATGTCACATACCTGTAACCTCCGCACTTAGGAGGCTGAGGCAGGAAGGGCGCTGTAAGTCTGTGAGCAGCCTGAGCTGTCTCGAAGAAAAAGAAAAAAAACCCCAAAATCAGTGAAAAGTAACTACTACAGCAGTGGTCCACGTCTGGGAAATGCAAGGGCAGCAGACTTGTGGCTTTGCCTGGCCCTTTCTCTGAGTCAGAAGATGCGCCTTCAGGGCAGTTCTGAAGTTTGGAAAAAGGCAATTCATGGACTGTAACTGTCAGGCTGTCTGAACTACATTTAAGTCATACAAGTAAGTTCTCTGCACCACAAAAATGGTCCCCCGTTGATAGCTAAAAATTGGGTAATTATTTGTCTAATAATACCCAATATTGGACAATCATGAAAATACATATATAAAATAGAAACAAAAGAAAATGTTAATTTAAAAATGTGACAAAGAAATAGAAGTGGGAAACAGAATGGGACTGTGGGTGGGGAGCACCTGTGGGCATCTGCAGAGCGGACAGTCTCTCCTTTGAGGGTGCGGCCTGTACCTCGTGAGCTGCCGTCCGGCCCCTGGCTGGTCCCCACCGGGCGTAGTAACTTCCTCTCCTCTGTCATGTGTAGGGCGTCAGCCTGACTGCGGCGCGGGAACGTGGGCAGCTCACATTCCTCGAGGCTCTCAAGTCCTCGGTGGACATCTTCTTCCAGACGCCGGTGGAGCCACCACAGCCCCTACAGTTTCTCAGGTCAGACGTGCACCCCTGGCAGGTGGGCGGACATGGGTGCTGTGCAGCTCCTGGCTGCAGGGCTCAACGCCCCACCCCAATGTTGTAGCGGAATACCAAAGCCCTGGCTCCCATCAGGGGCTGGGGGGTGCATTGTGGACAGTAATACACTTTGCTGTTCTCCAGCCCTGGCTTGGAGCCCTAGCACACTCTAAGCGGCTATGCCCTGGGCCCGCTGCCTGTTTTGTAAATGGTTTCAGTGGAGCTCGGCCGCCTTCATTTGTTTGCATGTTGTCCCTGGCTGTTTTGCTTTGCAGCAGCAGAATGAGTGGTGCACACAGACAAAGACCATGTGACTCACACATGAGAATATTTATTATCTGGCTCTTTCCTTAAAGGTTTGAGATTGGCTTTCCAGCTTACTGTCCGTTCTGAACATCAGCCCTAAACCTGGCTGCTGTTCTTCCTCTAGTGCAGGAGTCGTTGCGGGAGGTCTCCCTCCCTCCCTCCCTCTCTGACCGGCCCTGTGCAGTGGCCTGTGTGACACACACCCCCTTCTTCCTCTGGAGGCAGGGTCTCGTGATGCCTGATGCCCCGGTGTGGGGAGCTGCCCTCCCGTGCTGGGGGCTTGTTCCTAGCACTCGAGGCAGTAGGGCGGTTGCCCTGGGCTCTGTGCGCTGTTCCTCCACCTCTAGCTGGGAACTGAATGCTGGGGGTGTTCCTTAGGGGAGACAGGGAGGGGGACCGGCACGCGTCCAGAGGTCAGATGTGAATGCATTTGCACCCATGTAGCCCTTAGACTACCACTCCTTCCCACCCTGGCACCTGGATTGCTGTCTAGCTCTTTAGCTGCACATGGCCCTCCGAGAAAGCTTTCTTGGTTATCTCCCAGGTGCTATAGCTCCTGGATTGAGGGGCGATATGGAGTCTTTTCTCTTTTTTTTCTTTCCTTTTTTAGATAGGGTCTTGCTATGTTACCCAGGCTGGCTTTGAACTTAACCATCCTTCAGCCTCAGCCTTCTGAGCTGTTGAAATTGCGGGGTTGCACCACTGTACCCAGCTTGTGTGATGTGTCTTAAGGACCCCCAGTTTCTAGCACAGTGCCCTGTACCTTGTCTCCTCGGGAAACACTCAGTGTGGTGTGCCCCTGTCCGCCTGTGTGTCATGCCTTTTCTTTCTTTCTTTTTTTTTGATTTTTTTGGTTTTTTGAGACAGGGTCTCACTATGTAGTTCAGACTGCTCTATGACTTACTGTGTAGCCTGGGCTGGTGTCGAACTTACAGCGATCCTCCCGCCTCAGCCTCTCGAGTGCTGGGATTGCAGTCGTCCGCCACCACGCCCGGCCCATATGCATGCCTTTTCTTTCCCACACTGTGAGGGCTGTGGTACAGCTCTGTGTGCTACTTGGTCACAGGTAAACAAGCAGAGAGCGCTCTGGTGACTTTGGTGTTTTGTCCCCAGGGAGGCCAGTGCTGCGGACCTGCGGCCACTGTATGCATTTGTGCGGGAGGCTCTAAAGCCTGGGGATGGCGGGGAGGTAACGCGGAAGCCCCCAGTGCTGCTGGTGGACGACCTCAGTGTGCTGCTGAGCCTGGGCGTGGGGGCCGTGGCGGTGCTGGACTTCATCCACTACTGCCGGGCCACCGTGTGCGCGGAGCTGAAGGTACCAAGGACCCACAACCTCTGAGAACCCAGCAGATTCAGGCTGGCCCACTCGCTGGCTCACTCTCTTGCTGTGATTTTTTTGCTTATTTACTTGGGCTTTGCCTTTTCTCTGGGAGGCACAGAAATCTTCTGACCTATCCACTCTGGTCTTCCCTACTCCTGTTGCTAAAAATGAAGCCCTCAGAGTTAAAGAGCGATTGGCCCTGTGTTCCGTGCAGCTGGTCAGGTGGCCCTGCATGTCTTGGGCTACGTTATCCTGCCTGAGTTCACTTACTCATCCCCCTTTGGTTCTGGGGACTGAACCCGAGGCGTCATGCATGCCAGGCTCCTTGAGTTTGTTCTGAAATCATCTGAGCTGGGGGTGGTGCTAGGAATTAAGCCCAGGGTGGCAGAGGGTGTCAGCCCTGGGGTGGGGATGGTGCCCACAGCCCAGGGCTCCTCTCCCTGGAGTCTCCCAGTGAGGAGCAGCTCCCATCCCATCCTGTGTCCTGCAGGGAAGCATGGTGGCCCTGGTGCACGACAGTGGCGATGAGGATGAGGAGAACGACCTCTTGCTGAGCGGCCTCAGCCATCAGAGCCACCTGATCCTGCGGGCCGAGGGTCTGGCCACCGGCTTCTGCAAGGATGTGCACGGGCAGGTATGTGGGCTGCGCCGCTCCTCAGCTAGGGAAGCCTTGGAAGCTGTGGGTGCGAGCCAGAGACCTGCATCTTCTTGGTGGCTCCATTGTGACCAAGGCGGAGCTTGAGGCGGCACGGCAGCGACAGAACAGCCCTCTGCAGCACCGCAGGCATCGAACATTCTGGTCTACACTGTGTCTTGGACAGAAAGGGCTTGAGGCTGTGCTGCCCCCGCTCTGCCTTTGGAAGTCAGAGGGACACTGCTGTCTGCCCTCCGGGGCTGCTGTGCTTGAGCATCAGGCATCTCCTACTGAGTGATGGCCCCCAGAGAATGCCACGCTGTCCACTCCAGACCTGGTAGCGGTGATTGGAGTCGTGGCCACAGCCGATGGAAGGCAGATCTGGTAGAGCAAGCGAAGGAGCAGGCCCCGGAACTGCGTGGGGTGCCTGCGGCCCAGTGGAGGAGAAGCTCCTACAGACTGGGCAGGCTCTGTTGTCCCTGTCCCCCAGCCCTTCCCCCAGCGGAGTCAGTGTCCTGCTTAGCTGTGAATCCCAATGTCTAATAAGTACAGAGCTGCATAGAAAAAAGACAAAAGGAAACGCATAAAAATACTGCTGCACTTTTTCTTGGGGGACTTTTTATTTCATTTTACTTACTTTTTCGTTTTCATATTTCCTGTAACAAGCAAATATGACTACAGTAGTGGAAGGGAGGACCTTAATTTTTAGTTCGCTGTTTATTTTACATGTCGGTTCCGTTAGCCTTAGTTGAAGGCTGCAGCAAGGGCGAGGCGGGGCTCACAGGTGGTGGGGGGTGTGCCTCACGTTCCTTCTCCCTCTCTGCAGCTCAGGATCCTCTGGAGAAGGCCGTCGCAGCCCACCGCCCTGCGGGATCGGAGCCTCACCTACCAGTACAAGATACAGGATAAGACTGTGTCCTTTTTTGCCAAAGGCCTGTCTCCTGCTGTTCTGTGACCAGATTTGGGGGCTGCTGGGGCCATGTCGGATGCTCTGTGGACATGGATGATAAGGGCCAAGCAGGAACGGGCCTTGTGCCTGGGAGCAGCATTTCAGGTTGGGCCACAGCTTCATGGTGACTGAGCGATGCCCTGGTAGTTTGTGTGCTTTGTGCCAGGCTGAGCTCGGGAAGCAGGGAGGAGTCTGTGTCCCTGCCCCTGCTGAGAGGGCCTGGGTGTGGGGCCCTAGCCAAGGTCTGTGTGTATTGACTGGCTGGCCTGGAGGCCCTGCAGGTGTGTGCCCCACTTCCGGTTCCATGGTGCACAGCCCTGGCCATCAAGGGCCTGGCATGGGCCTTGGTCACGTAGGGCCTGTTTAGGGCACTTTGAAACAGGTGCTTTGTTTCTGTGTGTAAATTATCCCACAGTGAATTTTATCTTAAAAATAAATACAGTGAAAAAATAACATAGCTGGGCATGGTGGCACACACCTGTAATCCCAGCTCTTGGGAGGCTGAGGCAGGAGGATTCGAGCCCAGCCTGGGCTATGTAGTAAGTTCCAGGTCAGTTTCAACTACATAGTGAGACCCTGTCTCAAAAAAATTAAAAAAAAAAAAAAAAAAACCATTACTTTCCAGTGTACTAAGGAACTTTTTTT